GAGCTGAAGAGAGTCAAGAGGAGAACAACTAAACTAATTAAGGGGCTGGGGGACCAAAGCTATGAGACAAGGTTACTAAATGTAAACTTGTTGAAGCTATAGGTGAGGAGATTAAGAGGGGACATGATTTTCATGTACAAAAATGTTCAGTGGTGATGGCAACATCAGCAAAAAAAACGTTTTACAGTAAACTCTATAACAAAGACTAGAGGCCACCACCTAAAATTGGTGGAGAAAATATTTAACCACAAAGGGCGTAGGGGCTTCTTTCCAGTTAGAGCGGTAAAATTTTACAGGTAACTTACAGGTACATTTAAAAACTAGATCACACAGGGACTCGTGAACGCAAACAGTCACACACAGAGACACAAAGGTTGAACTTGAACAGGTGTGTCTTTATTCAGCCTCAACTACTATGTAACTATGTGCATTAAGCTGTAGAAAGGCATCATGGCACACTCACAAACCAGCATGTAAAACAACTTGTCTCACCAATAAGGATAATGACAGAGGTTTGGATACACGTCTTCTGCAGAGGATGTGAAAGCCGCACTGCCGCGCCAAGGCACCTCTTATAGTGCGGTCCTAACTCTAAACTATGAGAGTCTCCATCTTGGAGCACATGGGGGCAGATGCACTGTCGTTTGTTTTTATGTGCATTAAGCTGCCGCATTGTTGGCATGCCTCAGTGTCAGGATCAATTATGTCATCCAGGGCCGGCCAATAAAGATGTCCAAAGATGCCGTACCTGGAAGAAGACCTAGTGAAGATGGCACAGGTGAGGGAACGCGTGGACATCCCATCACAGAGACGAGTATGGCAAACATTGTTTTTGTTTAAGTTCCTTTAAATCTGTGTTTAAAATTGGTGAGATGCAGGGGTGTGGGATTTTTTTTTTTTAAAGGGACTGGCAATCTGCTAAAAATGTCCTGATGCAAAAAATAATTTTAACCAAAATCATATTTAACCATGCAAAGAAACGCTTCTCATTGGTCAGCGAAGTCAGGTGACTGTGCTGACTAATGAGTGCTCATAAATTCATAATCCAAAGCATAGTGCTGCACTGGACAGCACTATGGAGTACGGATAGTACACCTGTAGCGGTGAGGGGGAAGAACCATTTGCCGAAAGTTAAGTATATTTGAGCTGGTAATTCCATTTTCCCCAAATTATTTGGGAAAGTGAACTTACCCTTTAATGCACATGCGTGTGTGTGTTAGAGTGCTGCTGCCCGTCACCCACAATATGACACACAGTGGAATGGGGGCGTGCACACACACAATGCTATATAACCCACCGCGCAGCTCTGCTCCTCCACTTGGGGTTTATCACTACAATGAGACAATAATTCAAGTGGCAAGCAGGAAACATATAAGGATGCACTGTCCATTCTAGTGCCGAAGAAAGAAGGTATGCCCTTATACCCACCCTGCCACCACCTCCTCGGTAGCCAGCTCCCTCCGTTGTTCAGACCCCCAAATAAACTTGTACAAAATGAGCGGCAGCTCCCTTGCTAATGTGCCCCATCCTCTAGCTGTTACTGTGACAGGGGAGAGCTGGGCAGCACAGACGTTATGACGTTCCATGCCGTCATAACAGACTAAATAATATTTAACCCTGCTGCTTGCCCGAATAAAAAATCACCTGCTTGGTGCATGGAACTGCATGTCTCAGGCGATAGCATTCGCACATTCCTGGGGGTGTTCTCTTCTTTGCAACCTCCCCCTCTTTGTTTGTTTACAATGCTTTATTGACCTCTAAGAGTCCTTTTAAGAAGTAATATTTTTCAGAAAGCAAGTGGTTGATTGATGGCTCTCGAGCAATTAAGCACTTAGCTGTTTTTATTTTTATTTTTATTTCTGTAGTTTTTGGTTGATTTGCTGACTTGTTACTACTGACCCATCTATTTGTTTTGGGGGGAAAAAAGATAAAATAGAAGCGGTTTGTCAGATGTTACCTTCTTATAGCCTTTACCGAGTGAAAGAGAGCCAATATTCAGTTTGGTTAATAAGGACCACAATAAATTTCTAAAAAATTATTTGCCAAGGACCAATTGCTTTTTAATAACACATCACACCGCCCATAGTTTTGCTGTCCCATTACATTGCAAATCACATTTTTGAAGCTTGTAGTATAAATTCTCATGTGTCTGGAAAGTCCAAGTTTTGGTGGGGTTAGTATCATGCTATAGCTTACACCATGAAGAGAAAAGAACTCTCCAAGCATGATGGTAACTTTTTACCATAGAGAAGCGAGTTAGAGAACAGATCCTTTTCTTTTGGTTAGGGAAAGTGGGAACACAATAAAGGGTATTTGCCAAGACTGGAGCAGCTGCACATAGCAACCAGTCAGGTTCTTGCTTTGATTTTCAAAGTTTGACTGAAAGAAGAGATACTGATTGGTTTCTACTAGGGGTGCGGAAATTAACGATTAATCCGTCGATTAATCGTTAATTTCTTTGATCAATCAATTTTATTTTGATCGATCAAAGTTCTTTTGATCCGTACTCACCTATCCGCCGGCTTCTGGGTCTTCCGTCGGAGCTCCGGTGACGTCACGGACATCGGCTCTGTCGGCTAACGAAGGGAAGGGGGGAGGAGTCGGGTGATGTAGTTGTCCGTGATGGGTAACGAAGGGAAGGAGGGAGGAGTCCGTTGACGTCGATGTCTGTGATGTCACCGGACTCCTCCCCCTTCCCTTCGTTACCTAACGGGATCCCTTGGGCCGGCGAGTCTCCTGCTTCATTAGTGCATCGGATGTGTGGACAATGTGTACATACTACAAGGCAGCTAAAATAAAAATTAAATAATGTGTCATGTAAAATCTACTACCCTGTTAGAAATCTACTATCTGCTACCCTGGTGAGTCCCAGGGCCTATTCACACAAACCCCTGTCGGCTGAAATGCTGTGCTAGTGCATTGTATCACACTCTACCAGAGCTGTCACTGTTAAGATTTTTTAAACTGTGTGTACATTCCATTTAGTTTACTGCAAGGAAATGTGCACTGTGCCGTTTGGCGACCTGTGGTTGCATACCGTGTGCTGTAATAAAATTCAGCATGAATGCATTTTATCGCAGAGCATCACCCACTGCATTGTAGTGTAAATGGGACACATAGAAAACAATTGTTTTCTATGTGTCCTAGCGGGGACCTGCGTTGATTTGGTGCTGTAAAGCGCAGGTCACCACTAGATGTGTGAATGGGCCCTAAAAGAAGAGTAGCATGAAAAATGACAAAAGCAACAATGAAGGCAAGTGCACTCTATTTCATAAAGTTGAGTACAAAATTCAGACACAAGAAAAAGTCCATGTGCAATAAGCCTTATAGGTTTTATATATATTTTATATTTTTAGAATAATTGTACTTTCAGAGAAATTAGTTAACCTTTGTGCCTAACTGCCCCCATCCCCCTGACCTACTGTGACCACCACCATCCTAGCTACATATCGGCCTGAATCAGATGACCACGGCCTGCAGAAATCTTCAGCGCCTCTAGTCAAATCCTTTTTTTTCTCCTGACCCCCTAGTCTTCTAGCGATGCAGTTACCTGAATACCTAAGAAATTGTGGTTACTCTGTAATTAGCAACAAAATCACTAATTAAAATAGTCATATAACAAAGCTTATTGTAAATCAGCAGTATGTGACCCATGCACAGAGAATTTAAGGCTCCGTTCACACCTAGGCATTTTGTCGCTGAAAGGTAAGCGCGGCAAAGCTCTCAAAACAAGAGCTCCCATTTCCTTGAGCTTGACAAAATGTTAGGTACATGCTAGGGATGTGTTGTAAAGTAGCCATGGCTCCAAGCTTACTCCCACAGAGTACAATCTCAGTACAAATTGGTAAACTAAATGTCACATTATAGTCCATCACAGGAGCAAGCTTGGAGCGATGGATACTTTACAACACACACAAGGACCATGGGGAACAAAAGTAGCCACCCTCCAGAAGGAAGGACAGTGTCAGCATGAATTCAGAGATGATTTGAGGATCTACAGCTGAGAGATACACAAAAAAGCTACAGTGCATTTGTGTTAATAGGGTACTTGAATGCATTTTCAGATTTAACCCCTGAGTTTAGTGTCACTTTAAGTTACCTACTGTATGTTTAATGACAATTGGTATACATAAATATAATAAAATGTTGAAGACAAATAGGAAATACTGTATAATGGTGTAGAAAGCCCATTGACCTGCATTCCATTGCAATGTCTATTGCCATGGCAATCATTACAAAGGAGAGGTAGAGATAGAGCACATGTAGAAGGTTTAGCCCTAATTCATCCCTCATTTACTAAGCTTTTTGTTGCTTGAAACAAATTGTCCGTCACTTGAAGAAAGTACATGAGCTTCTTTTTGGCAGAGTCGGCGCTTTTTGGCCCCATGGAATTAATGGAAATGCTCAAAAAAAGCGTTTGCTGCATTTTGCACGTTACCTATCCACATCAATGTGTCAAGATCTGCTTAATATGCGCGTAAAACACACGTAAAAACGAGCTACAAAAAATGCACATATTCAATGTCACTCAGGTGTGAATGAGGGCCCACACCTAGCATTTTGTGGCGCTTTTTCTGCCCTAAAAAACGCTCAAAACAAAATTCCTTTAAATTTCTATGGGCATGTTCACATTTGAGCGTTTTGTCACTTGTAGCAAAACGCCCATTGCTGCGTTTTTGCATGTGTTTTACACACGTTTGCCCATTTACATCAATGTGTCACAATCTGCTCACAAAAACACGCAACTTAATGTATGCATTAAAGAAAGGCAGTGGCCAAGCTGTTTAGAGCTGTGCATCCTATGAATCAGTTCAGTATAAACGATAGTGTGACATTTTGAGTATTGCAACACTGTAGAAATAAGTGCAATTGAGATTAAACTTGCCCTTTAAAAATGCAGGCCTTTGACAAGGAAATGATGGTTTATGTATGATGCAATAGTGTTCATATTATGATTACATTATAAAGAGACAAATATTGTATCTATTTTCATTTTACAGTTCATCAAAATCACACCCAGGACCTGTTGTCCACATAAGTGATAATCCGATGGATGAAGGGAAGGTATGTGTATCTGCTATTTTATATATCTCTGCTACCAAAAAAAAAATATACCATTTGTTTATATACCAGATACAGACAGTTCAACTGTGACAATGCCATTAACCCTTTCGCTGCCAAGGACGTACGGCATACAGAGCTACAAAAGTGCTTCCAGCTGGCCAGCTCAGTATGCCGTACGGACCTGGCATTTACAGTTCTACTATAAGCTGATGGTCGCTTTAGCGACCATCAGCTTATAGTAGAACTGTTCAGCAGACTGTCCCATCTTTTTAGCATATTCTAGATCCGCCAGTACTCTGCGGACATTTGATACAGCCGAACAGCCTTTAACAAAGCCCACTTGGGCGGGGGATATTAATTTCGGCAAAATTCTGGCGAGCCTGTCTGCTATGATTTTGGACATCAACTTGGCGTCGGTATTTATGAGAGAGATCGGACGGTAGGAGTCTGGGAGAGTGGTGTCTCTGTCTTTTTTAGGGATCACTTTAATGTATGCCTCCTGACCCGTTCGCAAATACTCCCTCCCTTGCCAGATAGAGTTGAACACAATGTGTAGGGTAGGTGCTACGTCCTCTTTCAGGATCTTATAGAATTCGTTTGTGTATCCGTCAGGACCTGGGGATTTACCATTTGCCGCCGTTTTAAGGGTCTCTAGTATTTCGTTAAGCGAAATGTCTGCATTCAGGGCCATGAGATCTTCTTTTGAAATGGTGGGGAGGGGCGTAGATGTCAGGAATGCCTCCCCTAAGGCCATATCTACTGGGGTATTCGAGTATAGCTTGGCGTAAAACGCTTCTAGGGTATTATTGATTTGTTTGGGGTCTGTAGAAATTACACCTGAACCTAACCGGAGGGCGGGTATGTGTGCCTTAGTATACCTAGGTTTAGTAAGATTGGCCATCAGTCTTCCTGGTTTATTCCAAGTCTTGTGGAAATATAGCTGGGAGTGATAGAAAGCTGGGAGTTGAGCTGCCGACCACTCAAACTGTTGTTTAGCTTTGGTCCATAGGACACTATGCTCAGCGGAGGGGCAGGATGAGTATGTCAGCTGTGCTTGGCGCTGGGAAAGGCTGGCCGCTGTGAATTGGGCTTGAGCGTGTTTCTTTTTCGCCCCCACATGTGACATTATATTGCCCCTAAGGACAGCTTTCGCTGCTTCCCAAAAAAGATTGGGATTGTCAATATGATCTTTGTTGTTTGTCTGGTAGTCCTGCCAGGACTGTGTCAGCATGGAACTAAAGGCGGTGTCATTATAGAGGTGAGATGGGAAGCGCCATATAAATGCGTCTCCTCTCGGTATGGTTGGTCGTAGTTGCACAAGGATTGGGGCATGATCTGAGATTGCTATGGGCATCAGCCGTGTCTCATCGATCAGTATGTCGACAGACTCAGATGCTAGAAAATAGTCTAATCTGGCAAAGGATTTATGTACCCCTGAAAAATGTGAGTATTCCTTCCCTAGCGGATTACGGATCCGCCATACATCTATAAGATTAACCGCCGTCGCCATTTTTAGCATCGGTGTGGACATATGGGGAGTAGAGTTGGGAACCCTCCGTGCCGCTCCCGATCTGTCCTCACTAATGACCATAGTGGAATTGAAATCACCCCCCATAAGTTTGTGGGGGTTATCATCCTGAAGGATCCAGGTAGTGATCTCCTGGAAATATGTATGTGACGGTGAGTTAGGAAAATAAACATTGTATAGTGAGAGAAGTTTGTTATGTATACGTATCTTAACAAGCAGTCAGCGACCCTCCGCATCTCTTTCCGTGTGCTCTATACTGTAGTCAAGGGATTTGTTGAATAAAATGGCCACTCCTCCTTTCCTACCCACTGCAGGGGAGCTTACTATTTCTCCCACCCAATGCTTACGTAATCGTGTCATATCCTCCTGGAAAAGGTGGGTCTCCTGTAATAGAGCCAGTTTTCAATTTTTTAAGGTGACGTAACACCATCATGCGTTTAGCTGGTGAGCGTAACCCGTTAGTATTCCAGGAGATCAACCGAACCCCGTGAGACATATGAACATCGAATCATGAAAAGTAATCGTATGCGTTTCTATCAATATAAGATTGTGCCAAGACATACACGGTTCAATGAGTAACCCCAGCAGGATATCACAGTAGAAATCAGATACGGATGATGTAAAAACATTTGGTGGTTGCATAAACAATCTGGGAAATATACTCAGGGAAAACGACATGAGAGATAATGTCCGGTTATATTCACATTTCCGTAGCCACCTTTCCTTGAGAGCGTGGCAGAGCTTTCCTGGTATCTCCGCTAAGCCAGGGAACAAAGTGGCGGCTCCCATATCTTGCTGGCAGTTATGGGGTGTGCGCGATCAAATAAGGGGTCTCCAGAGAGAGGTTGGAATCACATATCACAATGGAGGAAAAATATAAGTAATGAAAGAAAAAAGGGAAAATTAAAACTGGGACAATGCGGTGTATGTCAGGACAGCAAGTATCTTTCCTGAGGCATCTAAGTGAGTCAAAAGTATAAGGCGGGTGGCGTTAGAGGGTTTACAGTACTCACTATTGTGTTGAAGTCGTGACTAGATACCAGCTCCAAGGAAACAGAAATTCCCTCCAGATCTTGAAGCAGTCGGGGATCCAGCAATGACAAGGAGTTAAGGTTGCACATCTTGTGGGGTGGGTAAAACAACAACGGGGTCCTCCCGTCTTCACCTTGGGTTCACGGCGAATCCGTGGGGGTCATGTGGAGGCGGGTTGGGGCCTTTCTAGCCGGCGTAGTAAAGTGGTGGGCCCGTGTGGAACCGCGGTCTGTCGTGGATGTCATTGTAGTCGACGTTCCTTCCAGGAATGAAAGTGCCGCTGCCGGGTCTTGAAAAGATTGTTGTGCTCCATCCGTGGATTGGAAACGGAGAGTGGCTGGGTAAGCTAGCGTAAAGCGGATCTTCTGATGGTATGGGCAGTGCAGACTTTCCCAAATGCCTTCCGTTTTCTTGTGACCTCCGCAGAGTAATCAGCGAATATGAGAAGCCGATGTTCCTCCAGGAGTAGTTCCTTCTTAGCGCGATAGGCCTGTAGAACCGCCTGCAACATCAATGTTTTAGCAATATTTCATGTCAAAAAGCTCATCCTAAAAGTGTGCCTGCTACTAAAATTTTCTCTAGTTATGGATAGAGTAAGGAATAGTCGGAATCTCAAGTTTTTATTATTTTATATCTTTGCTTGGGAAATTCACCCTCTTCTTTTGGTCACCATTGTCACTGGGACTGAAAGTGATGGAAAATCCAATAATTTCACACTCCTATTACAATAGGTAGTGAAAGTGAGTAGGAGCAGTGACTTGACAGTTGCGGTATCTACATATCATTATATAGATATAGTCTCTACATACTATTTTTTTTCATTGCTGGGTTTGGGGCTTGTATAAGAGCAAGCTTTAGGTCAGGGTTAAGTCTGCTGTAAGGCTAAGGTAAGTCAAATTAGTTATAGGTCTAGGTTTAACTAAATGTTAGGCACTGAGTATGTAATACAGGTGAAACTCGAATAATTAGAATATCGTGCAAAGTTCATTTATTTCACTAATGCAACTTAAAAGGTGAAACTAATATATGAGATAGACTCATTACATGCAAAGCAACATAGTTCAAGCCGTGATTTGTCATAATTGTGATGATTATGGCTTACAGCTCATGAAAACCCCAAGAACCCCAAATCCACAACCTCAAAAAAGTAGATTATTACATTCAATCAATAAAACAAGAATTGTACATAGAACAATATCGGACCTCTGAAAAGTACAAGCATGCATATGTACTCAGTACTTGGTTTGGGCCCCTTTTGCAGAACTTACTGCAATTACTTTTGCACGATATTCTAATTATTCGAGTTTCACCTGTAATTCTTTAAAGCGAGTTGCAAAATATTGTTGCACATTCCCGTTGCTTGTCTGTTTTTACAAGTTTTCATGACTAATTTACACATGATCTACAGTGAATAATGCCACTTTCTGCAGCTGTTGAGGAGTACTCTAGCGGCAACCTCTTCAGCACCAGTCGTAATCCAGTGTATGACAATATGACACCATCTTTATTTGCCTCTTTTGGGGGGCTTAGACACATCTACACTGCTGGTCTCTTCAATTTTAGCGTCTGCTAGTCATCAGATGATCAATGCCAACCTTGTGGGGTCTAACTAAAAAAAATATTTAAAGAAGAACTAGCATAATCTCTGATGGATATATGTAAGCAAATCCAGAAATCAGACAGTTAACTTCAGATCTGGATAGGAAGTGGAAAGATTATTGATAACTTGACACCTTGTAAGCAAGGAAATGACAGACACTTAATTATCCAGAATTAAGACCTTGGAAGCTTGAGTTGCAGATTTCAAAAACCGATCTGGACGGGCAAATACAAGAATCCTGGTCTGGCAGAATCTGTTACAGCGTTTTAGAAAACCACGGTTAATTTTCTGTTTTTAATAAGTCAACAAGAGCACATTTTGAAACCATTGTATCCACTATGAAATTCTGAGCTTCCCAGGATTGTGGCATTTAATCTCCACCATACTGACACGCAAGATCGAAAATGTTAGCAGAAATATGGCAGCACTCTCCCAGGAATGCCCAGTCCTGATCTTTGATGATCTCTTACAGAAGACTAGCTAGTATTTTGTTATGAAATTATTGACAATATCCCAAATCCAGTACATATAGGGCTTCCAATTTTACTTTTAATTTCAACACAATTGATTATACACCATCAAAAGCCTTGCTGAGAAATGCCAAGCCCTAGATTCTGCATGACTTCAGGTGAAGCATGTTCTTCTGTCTCTGATGTTTCTGGAAATTGATCTCTGTATTGTGGATCTGCTACTTCTGTGGCCTGTTGTTTTTCCTCTTCTGTCATATTGCCACCTGCAGGAGGTCAGCACACTGATAAACTAAAAATGTTAAGCCAGTCACTGTATAACGCCACTTTAAAAAATAATTCCTCAGTGTTTTGGTAGCGTCCTATGAAGATA